TTCAAACATGATAAAGTTAGAACACAGAGTGAATCACCTAGATTATCACTTTTCGTATTGGAAATAACTCTTGGCATAACTATAGAGCCATTGCTTTAGTTCAGTCAACTTTGACTTATTCATATTAAAAAAGAATGCCAGATAGTCTGAACATTTCTCTTTGCCCTTAGATTACACATGTTCAATTGCTTTTGCAATTAGATAGCTCCACAAGACATTTGTGTAGCAAATTACAAATAAGTTTTAGTTCCAAAACAAAATACTTGCTTGATGAGGCGCGCGCGCGCACGCACGCACACACACACACACACACACACACACACACACACACACACACTTATAAGAAGCTGATCTGAGATTTACTTTACTAAACATTATTCATGATATATATGTTCATGGGCTGGTAATAGATATCTTAACTATACTTGAAGTTTTGTGTTTAAAATACTTTAAAGATCCGAGAAACCTCTATACCTTACTAAAATACATATAAATAGAATAGATATAACATTTGATTTCAAGGATAAGCAAGAATATTGTGCCATAAGTAACTATTCTTCTCAGCTTAAATGAATTCTCTCCACTTCTGAAGTACAGTTTAAAATCTACCCTTCCATAAAGATTTTTTTTATCACTATAGATAGTAGTGATCTGTTCAATCTCTGAGCTCAAACAGTTCCTACTGCTTATTACATAGAGCACTGGATATGGTGCTTCATTCATTCAACAATTTGTCAGAACAACACGTGTGTTGGACAATACTCTTAGACTGCAAGGTTCTGAAAGGAATAAAGTTGAACCTTCTTTCACTGTGCCTAATCTATGGTATATGGCCCAATATACTTAACAAATAAATAAGTAAAAATTCTAACATTTGCCATTTATAGTATATAACTGTATCTACCTCTATAGTTAAAATACTTTCTGTAAAAATATTGTATTATTTTTCTCATTTATTGTATTTCTTTATCATTGTATTCTAAATACAGTCCCAATGTTGGGCTATACTCATTGCATTACTCTGGAAACATGACCGCATTACATGATTAAGTTCCCTTATGTATACAATATAATAGGCTAACTAAGAGATAGTTTTTACAGATATACAGGCTGCTATACCTCAGGAGATAAGAAACCCTTGGGAACCACTTATTTTTATATTTTCAGACACAAAATACTTGAATTGAGAATAACGTCACAGATTCATTTAAACCTGCTTCTTGTTAGCCTAAGGATGAAAAGGTGCAGTTAACCTATCTTTCCTGCTAAAGTGATGAGAATAGGTGAAGACAAGACACTCAGCTAGCTTTAGAGGAGAAGGTGAGTTTCAGAGTCATGATGTTCATATTATATAGGTATTAAAATATATTCTAAAATCAATTTCTAATAGTCCACACAAGCGCTAGAGTTTCTGCATGTTTGCAGGATGAAAGAAGAGGCCATGGGCATTCATCTTAGACGCAGGTGCATTGCCCACTCACCTTATCTAAGTACCCTAGTATCTAATTTGTCAATTAACCTATAAAAGCACCAGCCTCAAAAAATAGGACTTATAATACTAAAAATATATTTATATAGATCTTACAATTCACAAATTGTGTTCATTTAATATCTTATTAATTTGTGCAATAATCATTTGAAGTAATTATTTTTTACAGATTAAAATATGAAACTCAAAGAGACTATAATGAGTCAAATGTTACACTGTAATCTTAGAGCTGGAGTTGAAACTAAATTTTATGACTCATAGTTGAGTGCTCTTTCTGCCATTTCTGTGCTAATTGTTTCCATCATTAAAAGGTGAAATTGAGATTAAGTCTGATTTAGAAAAAAATGATATTCTAGACCTGTGCTGCCCAATACCATAGCCACAAGCCAAAGGTGGGTACTGGGCATTTGAAATATGGCTAGTTTGATTTGAGAAGTGCTGTAAGTATAAAATACATTATGAATTTAAAAGATTTGTATAAAACCTAGAAACATAAAATACTCATCAGAATTTTTATATCATTGGATGTTGAAATGACAAATTTTTGGATATATCAAGTTAAATAAACTATAGTTTTAAAATTGACTTCAACTGTTTGTTTTTACTTTTTAAAAATAGGCTTATAGAACATTTTATATTACCCACGTGACTACATCATACTTCTATTGGGCAATGCTGATCCAGACTTTACTTGTCATCGTTTTAATAGTACTGTGTGATGCATTGAAATGTTTAAAACCACCTTTTAAATTTTTAAATTGTGTTTGAATTACTAAAATAACCTGCAGTCTGAATCAGGACTGAGTCTGTATGGTAGATTATTTTAAGGGTGGTTATACAAACAACATAAAATATGTTAGCCCTAATGTAGTGAAACTTACCATTTAGTAGATGGTTGAGTAAAGTAGATACTGGTTAACATTGTTCATTTTTATGTGGATTAAGACATAATTGGTATAACATTTCTTCCTACAACACAAAAGCATAATACAGTGCATTGTAATAAGCTATTGGACAAGCACATTACAATGCCATGGACTCTTTGAGTCTACATATTAGTGACAAAATACTGCAATGTGAAAATGTACAGTTTTACACTTCATCCAAGCAGGCTCTTCTTCATCAAAGATAAGCTTTACATGATCATGTAATGCTTTCTGGCATGGAGAAGAAGCAGGAAGAAGTTTAAAAGAGAAAATGAAAATAAAGAAAAATGGTTTCAATCCTAAGAGAGAATAACCCAAAATAGTGCCTCTCAAACTTAAATATGCACACACATCATGTGGAATTCTTGCTAAAATATAGATCCTGATTCAGTTAGTGTGGCTTAGGACCTGAAGTTATGCATTTTAACAAATTTCCAAATGATGGTGTTGCTGCTAATGTGTGGACTACACAATGAGTGGCAAAGACCTAAAGCAGAGAAATGTTTGAGAAGCAAGGAATATAGATAAAAGAAACCTAGCTTGTTGAGTATAAGGCAGACAGGTACAGGATCCTGGAACAGAGCAAGGAACATGGGCAGGATGGAAGACATTTTACTCTGATAAATGAGAATTAGGGGAAATGTGGGAGAAATAGACACGTGATTACCGTGTTTCTAACACCTCAGTTTGAAAACATGCATGAAAAGAGATTAAAGGCAAAAACTGAGTATGTGAGTCTTTTTAAACATTCTTTTGATTTCTATGACTGGACTATAGTTCTGCATGCTAATTGGTAAGGGATGAAGTGAAAAGAAGACTCCAGAGTATTTCAGCAACAGGCTAAGAGCAATTGAACAATCTCCTTCTGGCACGATTCCCCTCTCACCATCCCTCAGGCTTGGAGAAGAAGAACAAACAAAAGTCATGTGTTCTGCATAATTTGGAAACCAGCTCAGAGAATAGCTATTCACTGTTATGAAACTTCTCTGTTTTAAATTGATTTGGGAAATAAGAAGGAGAGTCCTGCATTGTGGGGAACTCAAGTAACCAAAGGAAGTGTGCCTTGTCCTAATATGGCAGTAATAGATTGGAAGTAAGAAGACATGAACAGCTTCTTGAAGAACCAAAGAGAAAGATAAATCCTGGGCTGGTAGGCTGAGAAAATACTAAACCAGATGTCTAAGCAGGGCTCTGTATAGTCTCTGAGTAAACATGGAAGTCCAGAGAGGACTCTTTGAGCAGCCCAGCACTAAAAGAAAATGGTCTGATTTTTCAGAGATAAGGCTTTGGCTGACTCTAAAACAGGTAACTTCAAGCCATGTGCCATTTTTGTCCCCTCATGAGAATTATGAGTGAAAGACACGGAGTGCTACATAGAAACGTCTAATTGAAATATAAATTTCTAAGTTGTTTGTGTTGCCAAAAGGGGCAGAACTAGTAGTAGTGCATTAAGTCATGCTCAGTGACCTTGGTGAGAGAGGTAGGTTTGGCCCAGAGGATGGCCAGAGATTCAGAAGGTAAAATCAGTTTGAAGAGGGCTGTCCTACTACCAGCCAGCTTTGCTGAAGTATAAGAAGAACGTTTCCCACCTATAAATCAACTTATGATTATTTGATTAAGTTAGAACAAACGCACGAACAAAACACAGTTTCCTAAAATATTCTGAGCCACATTGTGCTACAACTTGCTTTTTTTTTTTAAGTGTGTGTGTGGGTGGGGGGAATCTATCATCAAATAAGTTTGGAAAACATCATGTGCAATAAAGTCCTCTATGCAGTCCTCAAACTTTTTGGCACCAGGGACTGGTGCTCCTATGGGAATCTGATGCCTGATTATCTGAGGTGGAGCCAAGGCAGTGGTGGTAGTGCTGGGGAGCGGCTGCGAATACAGATGAAGTTTTACTCACTGGCCTTCTGCTCACCTCCTGCTGTGAGACCCAGTTCCTAACAGGCCAGGGACCAGTATTGGTCCTGGCCTGGGAGTTGGGGACCTCTGCTCTTGGAGATTCAGACACATTCTTCACTTAAGAAACCTGTTTAACTTTGTATAACTCTAAATGTTCAAAATCATATGGTCCTGGTATATTTATTTTATGTACAGCTATTAACACATCACTGGAATTAATATTCTGCTGAACACCCTGGAAATCTAGAACCGGAAATCATAATTGTCCTTAATAATAGACACCTGCTCTATAGGAAATCCTAGAGGCAGGATCAGGCCTAGGCAAATGTATCATTAGCAAAAGCCTTTTTATGCATGTTGTTAGCTGATTTGCTTTAGAAAACCTCCCCCAAGGTCTTTAGCATTAAATTTTGTCTCTTACTCTGGAGTTAAAGGTTTTATACTTCACTAAAAGAATTTGAGCACTAAATAGAATGAAATTTATGGATCCTGAAATCTATAGGTAGACTGATGCTTAATGTTTTATCTGAGTGCTTTTTGGCGTGTCAAAGTCCCTGTACATCAATGGAGGCACAGACTTAGTGACAAGGGGATAAAATAACTTGGATTCAGTGTTTCCATACCTAAGCTGTGGGGAATTGGAGATAAACTGAGATTCTGCCTATCTAATTTGAATTTTTTTTTTCTCATCTCCACAGATCTCTCAGAGGAGAATGGGTATAAGAAATCAATCCACAGTGACAGAGTTTCTTCTTTTAGGATTAACTGACCAACCAGAGCTTCAGTTGCCCCTTTTCTGCCTCTTCTTAGGGATTTATATAGTCACTGTGGTGGGAAATCTCAGCATGATCTCAATAATCGGGTTAAGTTCTCAACTTCACACCCCCATGTATTATTTCCTCAGTAGTTTGTCTTTTTTGGATATCTGCTATTCTTCCGTTATTACCCCCAAAATGCTGGTAGGGTTTTTACGCAGAGATAAAACTATCTCTTATTCTGGATGCATGACTCAGCTGTTCTTTTTCTGTATTTTTGTCATTTCTGAGTGCTACATGTTGGCAGCAATGGCCTATGATCGCTATGTCGCCATCTGCAGCCCCCTGCTCTACAATGTCACCATGTCCTTTAAGGTCTGTAACCTGCTGGTGGCTGCTGTCTTCTCAGTAGGTTTTACTGATGCTGTGATTCATGGAGGTTGTATATTAAGGTTGACTTTCTGCAGTTCAAATGTCATTAAACATTATTTCTGTGACATTGTCCCTCTTATTAAACTTTCCTGTTCCAGCACTTATATTGATGAGCTTTTGATTCTTGTCATTGGTGGGTTTAACATGGTAACTACCAGCCTGACAGTCATCATTTCATATGCTTTTATCCTCTCCAATATCCTCCGCATCCACTCTAAAGAGGGCAGGTCCAAAGCATTCAGCACCTGCAGCTCCCACTTGACAGCTGTTCTTATATTTTATGGGTCTCTTATGGCCATGTATCTCAAACCTGCTTCTAGCAGTTCACTCACCCAGGAGAAAGTATCCTCAGTGTTTTACACCATTGTGATTCCCATGTTAAACCCCCTCATATATAGTTTGAGGAACAAGGAAGTGAAAAATGCACTGATAAAACTTTTAAGAAGAAAAATGTCTCCATAATGAATATGCTCTTTTAAGATTTATTTATGTATGCATGGTTGTATGTATGTATATATGTGTTTATGCTCTTTGTCTTTAAACATAATTTGAAGTGGTGAAATTATATATTTCTATTTCTGAATATATATCTTAAATTATGTATATGCAAACTGCTAAGTATATTTACACAATACGATTAATAAAATGCAAAACAACAGGTATGAAAATGAGAAGTAGCAAATATTTTTTAATTAAACTTTAATAAATAAATAAATAAATAAACTTTAATACTATTGCTGGGATTGAACTTCATTTTTTACCTTTATTTTCCTGAATCTAAGCAAAAAGAAAACAAAATCATAATGTACTACATAGTCATGTCAGAAAAAAAAAACACACACAAAATTATTTTGGTGAGTCAGTCCACTTATTTATCTCACTCAAAATGAGAATTTTCTTAAGAAAATTTGTGTAAGAAATATCGAAAAGTGTGATGGAAATATTTTTATTTACAATAAATGTGGAAGAATTTTTCAATTGTTTGCAATTGAAAAATTACAACAACTTTACAATAAATGTGGAAGAATTTTTCAATTGTTTCTTTAAAGCACTTTTTAAAGGCCAACATTATAACAAAGTGAGATTCATGAAGACAATCCAGCAATTAGCTAAACTTATACAGTATCAATATTTAGAATCTAGTGATCCAAGGATAAGACTTAGGACGTCTAGATGAGGAGATGATGTTCATCAAGTCTCATTTAAATATCTTGTTTTATTCTGTATGACCAAAATATGTGTAGTATTTTACAATTTTGTACTTAATTCTTCTGAGTTGATATTTTTTCCTCCAGGCTGTAAACTAAAAGTGTCTTTCATTTTCTTTTTATAAAACATTTTGAATAAAACATAATAAAAAGTTCATAGTTTTCGAGAATAAACCCATACACAATAAACCATTATAATGCACTGTACCATGATAATGAACTATATGAGGAAAGTAATGTGTTCATTAATTTATTTACCCAGCATATGCTTATCACGGACACTAAGTGCCAGGCACTAAGTATTGGAATATGATGGTGACTATAATAGAAAAGATCTTTACTTATTTTTGGTGGGTAGGGGTTGGCAGGTGCTACAGAAACAATGAAATCAATAAGCATGATAATTACAGGTATTGATAAATACTTTTTAAAAAAATAAGGTATCTAAATGTTTAATAGATTCAGAGCAATTCTCAGGAGAGCTCTTTGAAGAAAAGACATTTGAATAAAACCTAAATGAAGCAAAGAGCACAGTTATGCAAAAACAGAAGGGCAGAAGCAGTACTAAGTACCAAAGCTGGGACACACTTGGCCCATTTCCAAAAACAGAGAAGGCAGTACGGCCAAGAAATAATAAAAGAGGGGGAAACGTTACTAAAGGAGGCTAGGAAATAGGCAAATGCTAGATTATGTAAGGAGTTTAACTTTTATTCTTAGTACAAAGAGAAGCCACTGCTATTTTTTAAAAGCAGAGTGATGTAATCTGTTTCAGATTGGAAAAATGTCTTCTAGTTAAGAAGAAAATATATAGATGTGTATGTGCATGTTTGAGGGGCTATTGGCCATGGCAGAAACACAGAAAACATTTTGAGTCTATTGAAATTATCTTGGCATGAAAAGATGTAATTTTAGAGTAATGGCAATAGAGATGGAAAAAAATGGATGGCTTCAAGACACGTGTCTGATGTTGAATAAATAAGGTTTCTGTTGAATTCAAAGTGTGATTCCTGAGGATGATAAATTTTGATAAGTTTATATTTAAAAAATTAGAGATTAGAGAAATGTAAATAATGAAAGTGAGTCAAGACTCACTTTTAAAAAATATAATTGGACCATAAAAGCCTAACTAGTTACAATATTTGAGCTTCATATCTGTCTTTGTGTCTAAGCAGCCAAAACAAAGGTAAATACTGTAGTAGAAAAAGTTTTACAATTCTCACTATTAGAAAAAAATGAATTAAAAAAAAATCATTCCAAGTATTAATGGTAAGCAACAGTGTAAGTTGGCAGTTGCTTTTCACCCTCTCTGTAAGCATTAACAGACTCATTAATTTCGTTATGTTACACTGCATTAACAAACAACCTCCTAAATTTCAGTGGCTAACAGAAAAAAAAAAACCTTCTTTAACACCCATATTGGATGTTGATGGCTCCCTGTTTGTTCTGTCTCTGCCCCACATATTTCATTCTGGATTTAGGCTAAATCAGCAGCCCCTATCAGAGGCATGCTATTCTTGTGAGAGCAATAGCTAAAACTTTAGCTCAGACATTGAGTACATCAGGCCCACTCACATGCCATTTTCTAAAATACGTCACATGGCCAGTGTAACAATGAGATGTTTAAGTGGAGACAGGTAACCCTCTTGTAAAGAAAAGGGGTGCAAAATAATTGAGAACAATAATACAATCTACCAATGTTGGTTAATATTTGCTTATATATCCCTATTCTATCCCTTTACTTTTTAATCATTATTTCTGCTTCTGTTTTAAATGTGTCTCCAGTAACCAAAATATAGTTGAATTTTTTAAACCTAATCCAATACTTTCTGACTTTTAATAAATGAAAATGTCAAAGATTTATGGCTTTGATAGGAGGAAATTGATGAATCCCAGGAACTAAATTTGTGATATTAACTAAACGAACTAGACAAGAGCCGCAATGCAAAGAACATGTACGGAAGTAAACTGTCAGAGAGTAATGCCATTCCATGTCCAGTTGCTTTGGAAGGTCTCTAACCATATCTTTTGGAAATCATTTGGTCAATCTAGAAAATGTCTGTGTTCACTTACTGGCATATAACCATCACTCTAATTTACCAGCCTAAGGATTTTTAGACTAATATAAGGATTAGGGATAAACTAGTATAATAAAGAGAAAGTCACCTTTAATAGGTTTTAGCAAGAATGGAAGAATTTTTCTCCATTTTAATAGAGGAAGAAAAGTTTATCATTTTTAGATCATTGGATGGATCATTATTGCCAGCATTTCTGGAAAGAAAAATCTGACATAATTTTGGCAATTATTTGGAGACATCAAAACTTTTCTGTTTCAGTTTTCCTAAAACTCTAAAGCTGGCCACCAAGCTTGTGTTAACTGAATAAAACAAAACACCTGCGGTAATTACCCTTAAGTCCTGGACATATCTATTTGGTATCTCCAACTAAACTTTGTAATCGTGATTGATTTTTCAGGATTAAAATACTTTAATTACAATAATAGTATGTTGACCTCTTTTACATCATATTCCCAAGAGCCATGCTTAATTAAATTCTTAAGAGCAAGCAAGAGCTTCAAATATCACTGTTTATCCATGGCCTATTTTCATAGAGGAAAGGACATATCATATCCTAGATTTAGAGAAAAAAAAGAAGAAGAAGAAGAAGTTCATCAAAATTCTATCTTTGAAATTTGGAGTTTTCAGAATAAATGTATGAAACTGGTAAGCAGCTTATTAATCAATGTAATGATAGATTTTGTGACAGAACTGTACAGATATAATAGGCCATCCACAGTAAGTCTCTCAGGCTAGAAAAGTATTTGGGAGGAGGTTGGTATTTAGCCTCTGATAGATCTATATGACCCTAAATATCCCTTCCAATCCTGAGATTATTCTGAATCTAAACTGTTTCAGTTACTCAACTACTCAAAGTAGTAAGAATAATATTTCCAAATGTGGAACGTGGAAGTGAGAGTAACATTTCTGCAACAACTAAACTCAAGAACTGAGTCCCAATTCAGCTTTGCATTATCTATCATTCATTAAGACCATAACCAAAGGCTCTCTGATATTTTCTCCCTTTACAAGAGTGGGGATGAGTCTGTATTGTGCCTGTCTATAAGAATGCAAGTCTTTGGAGTCAGACAAAATTGGCCTTGAATCTGGTTTTACCACACACTAGCTATATGATTTTAGGTAAGTTATTTGGACTCTGCACATTTCAGTTTTTTCATGAGCGAGATGTAGATGACTGTACCCACTTCCTATTCAAAAGATTGTTTAACTTATCTGTATGAAATAGCAGAGCCTTGAAAGAAATTAAAACAACTACTACCAAAATCGTAAGGAGACTATGACAAATTCAAATTCAATAATAGGGATGATTTAATATACATCTATCAGAAACTGAGAGCTTAAAACAAGAGGATAGTATGGAAATAAAAGCTGCAAATCTAAAAATTAGCAAAAAATTTTTGCATCTGAAACATGGAAGACACATATTCTTTTCTAATGCCATTCAAATTTGTAAAACACTTTTAAAAAGTACCTGGCACATAATAACCAAGCATGCAATGTATGTTAGCTAGTATCACAGCTATTACCTGAAACCTAAAGATAGAAATTAAAGCCTTTTGAGAAGATGAGAATAGTGACTTCATCTCTATGAGCTTCAGGCCAGTATTGGGACATATTGGTGGAATTTACTGGAAAATAAAGGTTTTACCTCAAGTAAATAAAGAATTTTCTAAGGGTCAGAAATGATTGAATATGAAATAAAATACATGAATAAGCAATTGATTTCCCACAACTGAAAGATTCTAAGCATAGATCATTAGACTTTTTGGTGAGGAAGATATGGTAGATTTGGACAGATGACCCCTGAATTCCCAATATTATGAAGTTTTCCAAGAATTCTAAGTCAGAACAAGAAAACGACTCATCACACAACATTTAGAAAGAATTGATAAAGACTAACTAGAACTTTTAGCAAACAATCGGTCAGAAGGGTCTATGAGAGGAACTAGGACTTACAGAAGTTCTCTCGCTGTATGTAATCACAAGAACTCTACACACGAGAACCCTACAAGAAGAATTCTGTTTATAATAAAGCTCTACGTTTCTAACTTCCTCTGAAGATCCCTTTGGGGACATAGGTTATTTCTACTGAAATAAGTCAGTTTTGCCCAGTATTAGACTGTGCCATCTCATCAAGAAGAGTACCACTCAGCACTCAGCTCATCCTATAACTGGACTC